ACACCCTTACAAGGAATGTTTTGTTCCTCTCTGCAACTGATGTGGGATCTCACAATCCACCCCCATTGGGGGTCAACGTCCTCATTGGCACACCGCCCGGTGATTGACTCTGACACCCTTATAAGGAATGTTTCGTTCCCCTTTCCAACTGATGTGGAATCTCACAATCCACTCTCTTTGGGGCCCAGCGTCCTCGCTGGCATACCGCCTGGTGACTGGCTTTGATACCCTTATAAGGAATGCTTTGTTTCCCTCTCCAACTGATGTGGGATCTCACAATCCACCCCCTTGGCGCCCCAGCGTCCTCAATAGCACACCTCCCAGAGGAATGTTTCGTTTCCTTCTCCAACCGAAGAGGGATTTCACAATCCACCCCCTTGGGGACCCAGCACCCTCGCTGGCACACTACACGGTGACTGGTTTTGAAACCCTTATAAGGAATGTTTCGTTTCCTTCTCCAACCAATGTGAGATCTTACAATCCACCTCCCTCGGGGGCCCAACGTCCTCATTGGTACACTGCCCAGTGATTGGCTCTGACACCCTTATAAGGAATGTTTTGTTCCCCTCTCCAATTGATATGGGATCTCACAATCCACTCCCTTGGGAGTCCAGCATCCTCGCTGGCACGCCACTCGATAACTAGCTTTGACACTCTTATAAGGTATGTTTGTTCTCCTCTTCAACCGAGGTGGGATTTCACAATCCACCCCCTTGGGAGCCCAGCATCCTCGCTGGTACACCACCCGCTGACACCCTTATAAGAAATACTTCATTCCCTCTCCAACCAACGTGGGATCTCACATATGATGATTCCTATCTTGTGTGCACATATTATGGCAAAGAACATCAAGGACTAGAAGAAAATAGTTGGCAGAATCCCTTTAATGAAGTGTAGAATGCAGAATTTTTTAAGAGTTCCGATCCATCGTAGAACAAAGCAGAACAAGAAAACATCGGACCCGAAACAAACAAATGGATGATGTAAGAGAAATGTGATGAAAGTTGCATATATTTCTCCAGAAAAATAGAGAGCACAAATAAGTTTTAACAGGCATTCAAATGGTAGTAAAACAAGTAAAGAATCATGATTTTGTTCATTGCCAAGTTGATTTGGAGGGATGAATTCTAACCTGTGACAGAGAGATTGGACAGACCTACAAAAGAATTATCAAGAACAAAAAAGACTGTTAGTGAGAAAGTAACAATGAATCTGTTAAGAACACAAATCAAGTCTACTATACATGAAATCAAATGTAGTCCATCTAAGAGAGGAAGACATAAATTTAATAAAAAAAGACTCTGCATTTGGTAAATAATGTTTGAGCAATTTATATGCCGTCTATATACTAGGTATATAGAAAGTGTGCGGTGAGGGGTCGTTGTAAATCACTAGATAGGCCGGTTTTACTTAACTCGGCCTAAGCAATGCCCATTCCCATGCCTTTTTTGGTTGGACCAACCCAACTGACGATTTCTGTCTTCCTGAATTGGGCCTCTCAAGGAGCCTGTCCATGCTTGCTTATCCATACCAAACAAGATTCGCTTAATTGAATAGATGTATTGGGAATCTACTAGCAAGTTTTTTTTGGAAAACTTCATTTATTCTAGTGTGGATGACTGGCCGACCTATATTTCTTGGTTTCAATAGGACTGCTTGCCCAACAGGTTGGTTGAGTCTGTGGGTGTGAATGAGAATTTTTTCAGTGGTATTGACTGATGCTGGCCATAGCCCAGGGCAAGGGTATTGATGCAAAGATCATCAACTTGCTTGACATTACCATTTCATTAAATGATACAAGTTTTAGCCTATCTACAACTGAAGCAAATAACAAGTGGATCAAATGCCAAGGAAACAGATGTTTGGAATCATGAATCTCCACAACGGTATGATATTGTCCACTTTGAGCATAAACTCTCATGGCTTTGCTTTTGCTTTCCCCAAAAGACCTCATACTAATAGAGATCGTGTTTCTTACTTATAAACTCATGATCAACCCCTTAATTAGCTAATGTGGGACTTCTCTCCCAACAATCCTCAAGTTTATAATTTCAGATCGACTGCCACTTAAGATACTCGAGTTAAAAACCACAAAGAACAAATACAGGAAGTCCGAATGTTAGTAGTGTTACTCAGAAAGGCACCGGTGAAGAAAAGCACAAATTCTTGAAAGTTTTCCAACAAAACCAAGATTCTAAGTTGAGATCGGGCATAATCTAGCTCCATTAAGTGTTAGGAATCACAAACCTCCATAATGGTATGATATTGTCCACTTCGAGCATCAGCTCTCATGACTTTGATTTTGGTTTCCCCAAAAGGCCTCATACCAATGGAGATGTACTCCTTACTTATAAACTCGTGATCAACCCCCTAATTAGCCGATGTGGGACTCCTCTCCCAACAATCCTCAACAATCCTCCCCTCGAACAAAGTACACCATAGAGCCTCCCCTGAGTCCTATGGAGCCATCAAACAGTCTCCCCTTAATCGAGACTCGACTCCTTCTCTGGAGCCCTCAAACAAAGTACACCCTTTGTTCGACACTTGAGTCACTTTTGACTACAACTTCGAGGCTCACAACTTCTTTGTTCGATATTTGAGAATTCTACTAACATAGCTAAGTTAAAGGGCATGTCTCTGATACCATATTAGGAATCACGATATTGTCCACTTCGAGCATAAGCTCTCCTGGCTTTGCTTTTGGTTTCCCAAAAGGTCTCATACCAATGGAGATGTATTTCTTACTTATAAACCCGTGATCAACCCCTGACTCCTCTCCCAACAATCCTCAACCACCCTCCCCTCGAACAAAGTACACCACCGAGCCTCTTCTGAGGCCTATGGAGCCATCGAACAGCCTCCCCTTAATCAAGGCTCAACTCCTTCTCTTGAGCCCTCGAACAAAGTACATCTTTTGTTCAACACTTGAGTCACTTTTGACTACACCTTCAAGACTCACAACTACTTTGTTCGATATTTGAAAATTCTATTGACATAGTTAAGTTAAAGGCATGACTCTGATACCATATTAGGAATCACGATATTGTCCACTTTGATATAAGCTCTCGTGGCTTTGCTTTTGGTTTCCCCAAAAGGCCTCATACCAATAGAGATATATTTCTTACTTACAAACCTGTGATCAACCTCTTAATTAACTGATATGGGACTCCTCTCTAAACAATCCTCAAGCCCAACGGTAAGGGAGTACAAATTCAAATCTAAGATGGGTCAAGTTTTCCACAGCCATATACAAAAACACACAATCAAAGAAAGAAACAGCTCAGAATCCAAACCATCAATGGAAACATATCTATCAAACAACCAAAATCCTTCAAATGGCCAAATGGGTATCTATGATTCTCACTAAATTTCACAACTAAGTGTTCAAAAACAGAAATCCAAAGCAACCCACAAGAGAAATCGTTTGCGTTTGCTGGAACTGAGACACGAAGATTAGAAACAATACCAGGAGCAATCTTCAAAAGGGACAAGGGGGGCGGACAATCGCAGATGCAGGGAGCACAGGAGGTTTTGGAATCTCCCAATAGCAAAGCCTTCTTGAATCGCCAATACAAGGCCGGCCCACAAACAGCCAAAGCAGAAACTACAGCGAAAATCACGAGACAACACCTCAGGCAAGACCCAGATCGGCGTGACATTTCTCGCCCTGATCTTCCCCGCTTTGATTCTTTCGTGCTTTTCCTCTCTGTTTCCGCGTTGTTACTGAGAAAGCGATGAACTGAGATCTAATTGCAGCAGTGGAAGTTCGAAAGCAAAGAAATGAATGAATGAACAAAATAGAACTTCTGCTAAGATTTCTTCTGCAGGTGTCGGTGTATTGAATATTGAGTGGGCTATAATGTAATGTAACAACATAAAGATTTCTATAGAGAGGAAGGAAAAAAAAATACAATTTAAAAGTTTTCATTTTTTTTCTCTCGATTCAGTTGAATACAGTATCCAGTTTTGACCTGTGAATTATTATATTATATATTATCAACTCGAGTGAGCTCAAACGACAAAGTATCGTCTTTTATATTTGTTCTAAGTGATTAACTTAAACGTTCATGAAATTAACAATTCAATCTCTAAATTTTAGACGTCGTTTAATAAAAAAAATTCAAGTTAGAGTTTTTATTATTTAACGACTAAACTTAAGGACTACAAGGATAGAAATATCATCCTACACTACAAATTTTTATAAGTCAGTCGGGGTCGTCTTGAGCGAAATCGACATGGTGAGTTCCTGATACAGAGATATTTTAGTTGAGTCTTTACTTAAATAATTACAACATGGGTAACAGGAGGAATGTTTAATTTATCAGTTTAACGTACACATGACGATGACAACTATACTGATCAAAATACTTGTCAGCATAATGAGAGAAGTTGAATTTATCCTCACGTAGATCTATACGAATCGAAATACTTGTCAGCATAATGAGAGAAGTTGAATTTATCCTCACTCAGATCAATGTGAAAATGTAAGAATTCTGCAAACCATGCATTCTGTACAAACTTAAAAATGGAAACATTGGTCGACAACGAGTCTAGAGGCAAGACAACATTGAGAGAGCATTCTTCTTGCAAACTATGCCACCTATTTGATGCTATTGAAGATCAAAAAAACATACTTTTTTATAATTGCAAGCATATATTGTCCACTTTGATCCATTACATATCGTCGTTTTAGAGAGAGATTTTTACACCTTTATAAATTTTTTATAAATTGGATTGAATTTAAAAAATTATGACTATTTGGTTCTAAAAATATCACGACCCGACCCGGCCCAACCTGGGACGGATGGAATTCCAATTTAACCTCCCATCACCTTAAGTAAAGAATTTGATGCCATTATGAAGACGACTCCCACATTACCTTGTTTGGCAAGCAAGAAAAAAGAAAAGGGAAAAAGAAAATTTTGACCCCACAAGTAGGCGTCTGCTCTGCCGATTTCTCGACCACAAAAAACTCCCCTTTCCCACCGCTAAATATCTCTCCACGTCGCCTCTTTTCCCAAGTCCACATCTTCTTCAACGCCCAACTATTCAAATCAAATCACCACCGAACCCCGCAAATAAAACCCTTCTAAGGTATCTTTCAGATACTCAACATTCAACGATGGCGAAGAAAGAGATGGAAGTGATGAAGGATGTCGATCTTGAGAGGTACATGGGTCGGTGGTACGAAATAGCCTCATTTCCATCGAGGTTCCAGCCCAAAAATGGAGCTAATACCAGAGCGACCTACACCCTGAGAGACGAACGGACGGTGAATGTCCTAAATGAAACATGGGTTGATGGCAGGAGAAGTTTCATTGAGGGTACTGCTTTTAAAGCTAACCCTGATAGCAATGAAGCCAAGCTCAAAGTTAAATTCTATGTTCCTCCATTCTTGCCCATCATTCCTATTGTTGGCGATTACTGGATTTTGTATCTTGATCATGATTATCACCATGCTTTAATTGGCCAGCCTAGCAGAAACTATCTCTGGGTATGACTGATTTTTTCTCTACCATACATATTTTGTGCTAGTTGAGCTATATTTAGACTGACCACTAAATACTACAAGTTTCAAGTGTATTGCTAGTTGAGCTATATTTAGGTGACCGCTAAATACTACAAGTTTCAAGTTGAGCTGTATGCAGGTTGAACGCTAAATACTATGGGTTTCAAGAATAGCTAGTTGAGCTATATCTAGGTGACTGCTAAATACTACCGGTTTGAAGTTGAGGTGTATTTAGGTTGACTGCTAAATACTACGGGTTTCAAGTGTATGGCTAGTTGAGCTATATTTAGGTTGACCGCTAAATACTATGGGTTTCATTTCGAAACTCGGATAGCCAAACTGTTGGTTTTGGTGAAAAAGGATAATGGGATGTTTCTGAATTGTTCTTTGATGGTGTTTTCTTGACAGATATTGTGCAGGGAGAATCATTTGGATGAGGAGATATATAATGAACTGGTGAAGAAAGCTAAGGAACAAGGTTATGATGTGAGCAAGCTTCGTAGGACAACACACACTGACCCTCCAGAAGGAGATGAAGGTCCTAAAGATACTAAAGGAATATGGTGGATCAAATCAATCTTTGGAAAATGATCAAACTTTGAAGGAAAGGAAGTTGAATATTGTACCTTTGAGTTCAATGGGTTTGTTAAATTTCACCACTTTGGTTTGTATCCAGTGAAGATTTTGCGCTTGGTTTTGTCGAATGGTTGAAACGAGTCAGTCCTTTGTGCTTTGTGTATAGAGTCTCCCAGATATTGTATTTGCTGAATAGTTTTTTTATGAAGCTGGGATTGTGAGCTCAACATTTTACTGTTGGACTGCCAGGTTCTGAACTTTCCCAGTCCTGTAAAGATGAAATTTGAATAGATATGCAATTTACTTGCATATAACCTGCAAACTTTTCTATGCAAAACTTGCATACAACTCTTTTCAGTTCAATATCAATAAGTTGATTGTTGATTGTTTCGCTCCGATATCTTCCAAAAGGAAAAAAAGATCTGTTTCCTGGATTCGAGAGAGAAAACTTGGGTTCTCCCAATAATTAAATAGTGTATCATGCCTGAATCTAATTGGGGTTTGCAGTGGTAGAGGAACAGGATCGGAAAAAAGAGGAATTCCGGTTGTAAGATATAATGAAACTGCCTTCTTTTGTCAACCAAACAGAAAAAGTGCTTTGGTTCGATGGTTCGACGTTTAGAAGTAAAAGGAACATAAGAGACGTTTAGAAGACAGAATTTATCCTAAAAGTATAGTTATTTCCCAAGTCCATTGCCTGTGAAAGGGTCCTTCAAAACTAGGTAGCCCTCCAGCTAGAAGTACATATGAAATTGAACATAGTTTTCTCTCATGTAGTGATAGAGTACTCCAAAGCTCAAGAAGTTCATTCAGATTAAGAGAAGCAAAGAAGAGATATGGAGGTTGTGGTTTAAGGTATATATAAAGGCAGGCTAGTCTCCAGTTTTGATGCCATTTAGTTAGGCAAACTATGAGAGTTTCAAACATGACCTGGCAAAAGCAACCACTGAATCAATAGATAAGTGTACAAATCCCTTCTCTAACTGTAAGTATCAAACCATTGGATAAAAGATTTAATAGAATTGAAGGGATATCAGATGTATGGTAAGATCTACTGTCACTTTCATTCATTACACCAACTTCATTGGAAGAGGTTAGCTTTCTTTTTCCCCACAGATGATAGGCTTCACCACAATCCCAATAACCCAAAACCTTCATTTTCCAACTAATTTCTCTGTAATTCTCTTCTACCCTCCTTGATGAGACCCTTTCTCTTAGTTGTGGAAGGGAGAGAGATGAACAGACCAAGTTTTAACAGTTCAAACATATTCACATCATTAGAAAGAAAAGATAGAATTGAATTGAAAGATATATTTGAAGAATCAAACCACTAGAAACTTCTTTCGAACAATTAGGCAGTTGTTAGCTCTCTTACTTCACAAGAGAAGGAATGTGACCATGTAGGGCCAAATATTTTACTATACACAAAGAGAAATCATTACAATAACATATCTGAAATAAAAAATAAAATCAATTGACCAAGATATTCTCAAAATGCCAGTCGAGGTTCCTACCAAACACATAATAGATCTGCACTTTCAAAGGTTATGCCTACATATGGAAGAGCATCTACAATAGCTTGGAATCTGAATTACCAGAATGGTAGCCTTGCTGAAGTTATGTTCACTTTATATGCAAGCAGCTAGTTCCAAGATCTTCACAGAAGAAGTTCCAGATGCCTTCCATTTTAAAACACATCGTGTGCCAAAACCTGTATAAAGAACAGCACGTCCGAAACCAAGCACTCTGCATAAAGTCTTTCAGAGATTTCTCAAGGAGCGCACAAATCATAATTGGACATTCAAATCTAATGTTTAATATATTGACATGATACAAAGCACTAACTCCGTGATCACTTAAACAATAACAAGCGTCATGAGGCTGCTACCGAGCGAGTTGATAAACGCCCAAGGCCGAGACCTAAGCCCAATGGGACACCATCTTTTTTAGCTTTTCCATGGTTACTGTGACTACAATTTGAAGAATGAGTATGGCCGTGATGGCTAGTTGTACTCTTAGAATTCACATTTACTGCTATGTGGTTGTTTCCATTGGTGTTGTGAGAATGTGAGTCTCCATTCTGCAAGATTGAATTCATCGGTGCAGACATTGCTTCCATCTCTTCTGAATGCGACGAGCCTTCATTATACTCCACGTCTTCATTGTATCCCTTAATCAGAAAGTCAGAACAGTTTTTCTTGATCCCATGATCATAAGGGTTCCTAAACCGACCTCCAGGACCGCGCAGATAGCTATACCGCATAGCATTTGCCATTTCGTTCGTAGTAATATTACGAGATATCTGGTGTCATCAAGGCAAAAATTTCGCTCGTAAGCACCAAAATGGAATTCAAAAAACCAACCAAAGCACATAGTAAACACGCCAAGTTTACAAGTTCCAAAAGAGTCCACAGATATAGAAAAGACCTGAGACGCTTGGACAATTGTTAAGACAATCACACCAAAGAAGAGGAAGAAATCAACGATGAGAAATGATACAGCACCAACATGATGATTGCCAACATGGTTAATCCAAGCTCCAAAAGACGATGGTGAGGATGGATCAGTTATAACTCCTGAAAGTGATTTATCGTCAAAGATTAAGGCACGTGGGAATCCAAAATGCAAAATGACAGACATAAATCATTGTTAAAGTCATTTAGAAACATACTTGTAATAGTTACTGCTCCAGTGATCACCATTGCTGAAACTTCAAAAACAAGAAATATAAAGAAATCCCGTTTGTTTTTCTGTGTCAAATATTGATTAGCCACATCAAACATCAACGCAAAAATACAATACAAACGCACAGCAGCCTTCAATACAAAGAAGAGAACAACTTGGCAATGTTTTCCCAATACGATTTATGATTCTATGCAAAAGGGATTGTGAGAACTAGGAGCACCTTTTCCTGACTGTTTCTTGCGCAGGGGCTATTCTGTAGGTCAGGGATTGTTATTAATTCATCCAGAAAAAGTATATTAAGCTAAACAAAAGATATTTTGGGCTCCAGAGGTTTGACAAAGAGGAAGAAGGAACTTTGAATTTTTAGGTCTGGATAACAGCATGCCGTGTGGAATCATTTCATTTACTAAGCAACATTTTATTTGCCCTCTTATGAAGATATCTTATATTCTTTCTTTATTTGCCGTCGGGTTGAATTAGGTTGGGGGATTAGTAACTTGCATACCACCAAAAAGATAACAAAATAATGAAAAACATGCGCAACATGAGCAAGAGACATTCTCCTATCAACCTCAACTGGTATGAATCAAAGGGAAACTAGGGAAATGATCGTCCTCATGTTATTTTTTATATTAATTAGAAATAAATTTTATTTCTGAATTCTGTAAAAATAAATTAAGTGCAGTCTCACGTTGAGCCACCACCCTAAACTTGATAATGAAGAGAAAAGTTATGCTTATTATTATAATTTACAGCTTTCACTGCGAAGGCCGCAGTTTAGCTATTTATATTTTTCATTATGGCACATCTATCCTTCAAAACTATCAAGTCAATTGGAGGGTTGCTTGTAACTCCATTGGCTAGATCCTAGATGAGTTCCTCTTACCAGTATTTTTTTTTTTTTTTTAAGGTTAGTGATATATATTTTTTTAAGTACTAATATGAAGGAACTAACATGCAAATGTCCATCATAAATGATATTGTACCTTGCCAATACAATTGGATACCCAAGGGCAGTGATGGTCAAATTGTTCAACACATCGATTACAAGTTGAACAGTGCTTTGCACGAAGAGGCCTGACAATCTAAGCATGATATCAAATCAAGTTAATAATGTGCTTAAAATTAAATTAACAATTCTAAAAGAAATTATACAAAACACAATCTTAAACAATCAGAAACAGAACGCACCTTGCAAGTAGCACAGAGCTGAGACCAATTCCCAGCAAGCAAAGCGGGGTTGTTGATCTCAATCTTCAATAAAGGTTCCTAATAGAAAGATATGAACAAGTTAAGCTTTCACCTTAGGCATCAAGATAACGATAAAGAAGAAGATTGCGCAATTGTAACAATAGAACAGGAACTCTTTCAATTCTACAGAAGCAATTACTGAAAAACGAGGAAAGATGTATGCATAATTGTTCCTCTAAAAAATTACTTTCTATAGAAGCTTAGAGAAAACATAAATAAACGCACATCATCTTTCATATTCTGAGAGTCGTGAACATCCATTCTAATGAAACCTGGATCTTTGCTGCAGATTAACAAAAAAAATGAACATGTTGTTATTAGCAAATGAATCAAACTCCGCAATTACGATCTATACATATCCAACAGCTAAAGGAATGGTCGTCTTTAAGGAAGTTTCCACACCTGCTACATCTATAAAACATAAGAAGACCTGTAGTTGCTAAAATAACACCCATCCATGCAAGAAAGGCTAAGCCGGCCGTTAACACTGGCAGATTTGATGCTGTGGGAAAAATGCAAAACAAATGTGATTAATTAATTAAAAAGATAAAGAAGAGTACAGACTTGACTGTTATGTAAAGTTTATGGAAATACCCAGAATGACGGAATGAATATATGTCACCAGCAACAGAAAGATTAAACACCAAAGTACAGGGGCAAGTCCTAGCTTTGACAATTTTCCAAGGCAGCTATTTCCATCACAACGTTTTTCAAGCAGCCTTCTAGCATTTCCCTGAAGAGTCCAAAAGCAGAAAATTATTAGTTTCCCTTTACATAAGAAACAAATGTTAATCAAATACACCGAAAAAGGAAGATAAGGAGTCATACAGAAATAGACAAGAAAGAAAATATATATATATATATATACCAATTAAATAAGGAAAAAATCACTGAACCAGAAATATATTTCAACTACATCGTCATAACCCAAAAGGGAAGCCAAGATAATCACTCTGAACCACGCATCAAACATATCTTCTAAATCCTTTAACTTTCTTTCGTTTTAAGTACCCCAAAGTGTTGCCATAACATCACTAACAAATCAAGTGTCCCTCTTAATCCTCAAGCTTTTGAAAATTTATTTACAAAAAACATAAATTCTTCATGCCAACCTTGGATTCTCTAGCCTTTTAAGAAACAAGATGTATATAAAAGATAAACGAGGAGGAAAAAAGCCCACAGGCAGGGGGAAGAGAAAACCCACTCCCAAGAGAGCTACTAATAAAAAGGCTTCCAGGTACAACTTCGGCACAATAACAAGTGAAATTTAGAGAAATATTCTTTTAAAAAAATCAACCTGAAGAAGAAATGAAATGGCAGATATAATAAGAAGAATGAAAGAAAATAAACTAGAGGCCTTTAATTCAATCAATATCATTTACATGC